GCAACCAATCGATGTGTGTCTCACATTGATGTTTCTCTCTCCCTCTCCCTCTCTCCATCCCTCCCTTCCACTTCTAAAAAAATTTAGTGGAAAATATATTCTGGGGTGAGGATTAACAAAAAAAAAAAAATCATGAATAACTGCAAGCATATTTTGTTGACATGATTGGTTCTTTTTGCTAACTCCTGCTGAATTATTTTTAGCCTCAGAAATTATTCCTTGTTGTTGTTGTTAATCCTGACTGAGGATATTTTTTCCATTGATGTTTTGAAAACATATTTTTATTGATTTCAGAGAGGAAGGGAGATGGGGAGAGCTATAGAAACATCAATGATGAGAGAAAATCATTGATCAGCTGCCTCTTGCACGCCTCCTACTGGGGATGGAGCCTGCTACCTGGGCATATGCCCTGACTGGGAATCAAATGGTGAGCTCCTGATTCATAGGTCAACACTTAACCACTGAGCCATGCTAGAGATAGCATTAAGTAGCATTTTATATGCTTTCAGTATTTACATCAACCCTAAGTGGAATACCTACCGGTAGTTATGTTGTGAGATGTCTGTATTATTTATAGATTTCAATTAACTGATGCAATATCTGTACTTCATAACAGATACAATCAAAAGCTGACTCTTACGTTAGTTGGTGTGAGATCATGTGTTTCAATTTTTAGCTTAATTATATGGATATATTTTCAAAATCAGAATCAACTCAACCCCTCCTAACTGCATAAATTAAAAATATACAATTTGTTGCTATATTAGGCTCAGTGTGCATACCAAGAATGGGTTAGAAGTTCCACACCCACTCTCTCCTTTCTCCTTCCCTGTTTTATTAGATGAAGACATTCAATGAAGCTTGCCTGATGGTAAGGAAACCAGCCCTAGAGCTTCTGCATTACCTGAAAAACACCAATTTTGCTCATCCAGCTGTACGATACGTTCTCTGTATCCTTTCCTGCCTACATGGGCTGTCTTAAGCCAGTGCTTTCCTCCCTCAAATGTGAGAAAAGAAGAAATGCAAGTGTACTTTTTGTTAGCAGAAGTGTTCCTTCTGGTAATGTTTTCTTTAACAGCAAGTGCTTTAGATGGGGAAAAAGGAACAGGAAAAACACTCAGTCTTTGCCATATTATTCATTTCTGTGCAAAACAGGACTGGCTGATACTGCATATTCCAGATGGTAAGAACTTCCTATCTTCACTGTACGGGTTTGTTATCCTGTTACTGTGGTAGCATTGTGGCTTTAATTTTCGGACAGGGCTCTCTGATGGCTACAGGAGAGGCCTTTGCTCCAGATACAGAATGATCTAAACTAGTTCATAATTTCTTCATATTACTGACAAGCAAGTTGCAAGGTGAAGTAAATGCAACAAGAAGAAATTCAGCTGCCCGGCCAGTGTGGGTCACTGGTTGACTCATGCACCAGGAGGTCACGTGCCCTGGTTGCACACTCAGTACCCAGCAGGGGGCCTGCAGGAGGCAGCCCATTGATGTTGGTGTTTCTCTCTCATCCATGTTTCTGTCTACCCCTCTCTTCCTCTCTCTCTAAAATTAATAAAAACCTATTTTTTAAAAAGAAGAAGAAATTCAGCTGAAAGCTTCCTGGAACCTCTTGATAATAAGAAGGAACTATTTTGGCCCAGCAGTCCTCACTTTGATATGTGATGCCCAAGAGCATAAACTCCCACCTTAGAGGTCATCACAGGCATCATGGCCATCAGTCAGCAGTTTTGAGTGTCCAGAGAAACTGACATGGTCCTGGTAATCAACATTCTAGAGTTTAAAAACTTAAACTCTCATTCTTTGTACATATCCTTCCTTGTTGTATATGTGCATCCACATACCATGACTATCTTTAGAAACTACCAGGAAGCTGAGGTGACCATTAATTCACTTGGTATGCCTAGTGTGTTGAGTGTAATGATAATGTTTAATCTAAAATAAACCTTGGAAACAAGGCTTTAAGAAATATATAGGACACTAAAGTCATTCCCCATGACTTACAGTTAATAGAGTATTTTGTGTTGTATACAGTTAATTACTGCCTACTTTGTTCTCTGTGCCCCCCGCCCCCCTTTTTTTTTAGCTCATCTTTGGGTGAAAGACTGCCGGGATCTTCTGCAGTCCTCCTATAACAAACAGCGCTTTGATCAACCTTTAGAGGCTTCGGTCTGGCTGAAGAATTTCAAAACTACAAATGAGCGTTTCTTGAGTCAGGTGATTAGACTCCCAGAAGTTTGGTGCTGGCCATTCTTTAAATAGATTTTATCTTCTTTGTGCCCCAAGTACCAGTAGACTGGAGAACTAGTATCATGGTTGAGATAACTGTACCATTTTCTACTTCTTGCATATATAGTATTTTACTCACAGTGAGCTCACAGTCTGAAACTCATTTACCCATAGAGCCAGCAGTAGGCTGTTCCCATCTTGTGGGTAGCAAATTGAAGTTCAAATTAATTCACTGACTTTTCCAAGGTCACAGGCTCAAATTCTCTAAAGCATATTCTAGCTACATAATTTTCTCCAGATAAAATCTTTTTTGGAACCAGAAATGTATTGGTAAAATTACTCTTTACTCTAGTAATTCTTGAATATGATCTCTAGGCCAGAGGTTTTCAAACCTAGATATTTAGAATCATCTAGGAGCCTATTAAAAATGTACGTGTCTTATCCTGGACCTTTATAGTCAGAATCGTGTGTGTGTGTGTGTGTGTGTGTGTGTGTGTGTGTGTGTGTGTTTAAGTTCCAGGCAGAAATGGGCTAGATAGCATTCACTTCATACTGAGATAGACCTCTTATGGGGCTTGAAAAATAGATTTAAACTGATTCCTAATAACACAACCTTTTGTTTGGCTTTAGATAAAAATTCAAGAGAAGTATGTCTGGAATAAGCGAGAAAGCATTGAGAAAGGCAGTTCTCTGGGAGAAGTAGTTGAACAGGTATAAAAAAAGATACTGTGTACGGTGCCATACCAGAGAAGGCCTCTTATAGACAGGCTGGGCTGTAAGCCACTCTCTCCCTTTTGCTACAGGGTATAACACGGGTGAGGAACGCCACAGATGCCGTTGGGATTGTGCTCAAAGAGCTAAAGAGGCAAAGTTCTTTGGGTACTTTTCACCTCCTGGTGGCAGTGGATGGAGTCAATGCGCTCTGGGGAAGGACCACGCTGAAAAGAGAAGATAAAAGTCCAGTAGGAAAACTGACTTTCTCTGCTCTGGTTTCTCTGATTTCTGGTGCCATATTATATATAGTCTGGGCATGGTAGACATACAATATATTTTCTTGCCTAGGAATATTTGAATTAGATGTATAGTGAAAATAGCATCAAAAGGAGCTGATACAGCCCTGGCCGGTTTGGCTCAGTTGATTGGAGCACCGTCCTGTACACCAAAAGGTGGTGGATTTGATTCTCAGCCAGGCACATACCAGGTTGTGAGTTTGAGCCCCAGTCTGGGCAAGTACAGGAAGCAACAAATTGATGTTTCTTTCTCTCTCTCCCGCCTCTTCTCTCTAAAGTCAATTTTTTTAAAGAGGATGATACCAAGTTCCACTATCCATTGAAAACTAAGGGAAAGTATTTTGTTTTTTAAAATATATTTTGTTGATTTTTTACAGAGAGGAAGGGAGAAAGATAGTTAGAAACATCGATGAGAGAGAAACATCTATCAGCTGCCTCCTGCACACCTCCTACTGGGGATGTGCCTGCAACCAAGGTGCATGCCCTTGACTGAAATCGAACCTGGGACCTTTCAGTCCGCAGGTTCTATCCACTGAGCAAACCGGCTAGGGAAGGGACAGTATTTGAAAAGAGCATGACAACAGAAGCTACGAGTACATTTTTTTTCTTTCTATTCTCTTTTCAAAATGAGGCTATGTGGTGTAAAAAGAGAAGATGAGAAGTATCTTGGGGGTATTTGGAGACAGTGGGTGTTTTTGCCCTTGGGGACTGTTTTTAAACTCCAGAAGCAGTAGTTTTAGGGCCAACAGCTCTGTAGCTTATCTCAGAGGCTTATCTTCAGCCTCTACTATGGTGACGTAGTAGTTGAAGGTTTTTTAGTCGTTATCAATTACTAGTAATTTGTCTCAGGGAAGCATCCAGGCAAAAGGAAGTAATGGCCTCCTTCTGCTCCCACCCCTTCCTCCCCTCGCACACTGACCAATGTGCAGATCGCCGCAGAGGAACTAGCACTTATTCACAACCTGAGGAAGATGGTGAAAAATGACTGGGTGAGTGATATGATGCCTAACATATTTCAGAGAGAAATGTATTTTCATTTCAAAGATCTTCCACTACGTCATTCCTAGCACTTTGCAGTCTCTAATTTTATGGACAGAACGTTCTTTTATCTCATTTAATTCCCATAACTGTACCAATTTTAAAGGCTATATATTTGGTTTCTAATCTTTCCATTTAACTGGAGTAAGCTTATTCAAAACCATTTTATTTAAATATTGGTGTAATTACATTGCTTACAATTGTTCAAAGTGTTTTTAGATCTTCTATCTGTTTTAGCTTTTTCTAATTGTCTTTTTCTCCTTTCTTTCAGAATGGAGGTGCCATTGTGATGACTTTGAGCCAGACTGGGTCTCTTTTTAAGCCCCGGAAAGCCTATCTGCCCCAGGAACTGCTGGGAAAGGTCAAACCATTGAAAAACTTGTTTCCCTTAGATAGTCATTCTGTCTAAAGACATCTTTTTCTTTTTCTTTACATAATTTCAGACTTGGATAAAAATTATATTCCTGTATGACTTCACCCAAATTCCTAAAATGTTAACATTAATCATATTTGCTTTATTCTTCTTCCTCTTCATTCATTTTTTTCTGAATATGTAGCAGTAACCTGAGGATGCCTCTTTATTTCAAAATCATGTGTACTTCTTAAAACCAAAGATATCTTAATATATAACCAAAGCACAGCTGTCAAAATCAGAAAGTTGACATCGATATAATACTGTTAACCTAACCTATGGAACTTACTCTGGTTTTGACAGAATATCCCAATATTCTTTACAGAAAAAAGAGCGTCTTGGGCAGCGTGTTGCACTCAGTTGTCATGTGTCTTTAGTCTCCTTTAACCTGGGACAGTTCCTCAGTCTTTGTCTTCTATAATCTTAATATTTTTATTTCTGAAGAATACATATCAGTTATCTTAGGGGTTATTTTATGAAGTTGTCTGATGTTTTTCTCCTGATTATATGTGATATTAGAAGTGATGTGTGCTCTTAGTGCATAATATTAGGAGGCACATGAAACCTATTTCTCCTACTACTAGCAATGTTAACTTTGAACACATAATTAAGGTGGCATCCATTTGGTTTCTCCTCAGTGAAGTTGTTATTTTACTTTTATAGTGAATAAATAACCTTGTGGATGTATATTTTGAGACTAGGTAAATATCCTGTTACTCCTCAAATTTCTCCTTACTAGTTTTAGTACTTATTGGTGATTCTTCCTAAATTAGTTATCATGATAATAGCAAAATAGATATATTCTATTTCCATCATTTCCTCTAAATGTATCGGTTGGCTTTCTATTATATGTAAGAGTTTTCCTTTCTACCGTATGTATTTATTTATTTCAGTACAGACATGTGGATTCTTAATTTTTAATACCATTATTTATTTCGATGCTTAAATTATCCCAGATTTGGCCAGTAGGTGCCCCTTTAAGCTTACCCTGGATGCATATGGGCTACTAATAAGACCCAGTTAAAGGCACCTTCTGGACCATGGTTGGGAAATGTTAATACCCACCATTTCTAAGCCATGGAAAACTGATAGAGAAGAATTTATTTTCAAGATGAATTCATGCCCTGGCTGGTTTGGCTAAGTGGATACAGCATCGGCCTACAGACCAGAAGATCCAGGGTTTGATTCCAGTCAAGGGCACATGCACGGGTTGCGGGCTCGATCCCCAGCTGGGGGCGTGTAGGAGGCGACCGATTGATGATTCTCTCTCATCATTGATGTTTCTAGCTAACTCTCCCTCTTCCTTCCTCTCTGAAGTCAATAAAAATATTTTTTTAATTGAATTTCTAATGAGGTCAACATAGAACACAGGTGCCTGCAACAGCCACACACACACACAGGCAACATGTAGTAGATGAACCAGAAGGAAAAGAGATTATCTTTAAAAGAGAATGTGTGGCCAAAAGCACTACCTAGTGCAGTGATGGCGAACCTTTTGAGCTCGGCGTGTCAGCATTTTGAAAAACCCTAACTTAACTCTGGTGCCGTGTCACATATAGAAAGTTTTTGATATTTGCAACCATAGTAAAACAAAGATTGATATTTTTGGTGTTTATTTTATATATTTAAATGCCATTTAACAAAGAAAAATCAACTAAAAAAATGAGTTTGCGTGTCACCTCTGACACGCATGTCATAGGTTTGCCATCACTGACCTAGTGCGTACAGGCCCTGTGTGTCACTTAACAATTACTATATCTTTATCCTTTTTCTTTTCCAGGAAGGATTTGATGCCTTGGATCCCTTTATTCCTATCCTGGTTGGCAACTATAACCCAAAAGAATTTGAAAGTTGTATTCAGTATTATTTGGAAAACAGTTGGCTTCAACATGAGAAAGGTCAGTTGTTTAATTTCTTCTATAAGGACTTTATCTGTCAGGAAGAGCCCCACTGTCAAAACCTTGACCTCTTCTTCCCTCAGGAGTAGTGTGTAGTTTGTATTTCATCTTTATTCCCTTTATCTTGACTTCTTCCTGGCTGATCACATGGTACAGAAGGGGGGCGGGGGTAAGGTTTAATTTACAAAAGACATTATATCTCTCCCTAAATTCTCAGCGTAGTCTACAATAAAATGCTCATGCTGAGAGAGGAGGCCAAACCAAGCCCAGTCCCTTGGTTCAGGTTGCTGGCCACACTCTCATTGTTGCATTTTTCTTTGTTTTTTATCTTTTTTGTTCATTGTTGCATTTATTCATCATTCAACAAACTTCAATTGACTCATATGCTAGGACACCCACAGAATAGTTGACTGTGTAAGAGACTAAACCCCGCCGCCCCATCAAACCAAATCTTTGCTCTTTCTGTCCTAGTCTTGTACATGAGAGCATTTGAGCTGTTCTTTTTATCCTTGCCCTCGGCTTGAGGACAGGGAGGAGGAGGAGGATATAGAGGAAAAGTCAAGGCTATTCTATCGATAGGTCATAGAGAATTAGCTGTAACTGGAATATGTTACTAAAGGAAAGAGTATAAAGCAGCTGCAACATGATGGGTTGGGAAGCACAATGGAGAGATTTGGGTTGGTTGGGAGATTTGACCGTGTCCTAAAGTCCAGAAGATAATCTTGGAATAATGGGAAAGATAAATGCTGGACTGGAAGAATAGAGACAGAAAGGGAAAATGTGCATAGAAAATATAATCATTTATTAGGATGAAGGATCTAGCAGTGAGGTCTCTGGGAGTGCTGATGACATCAGAATGTAATCTAGATAATGTAGCCTCTACAGAATTCTCTGGGTGTAACTTAATACTTCAGGAGAGAACTGCCAATTATCTGTGCTTGATTCCATTCAGCTCACACGGAAGAAGGTAAAAAGGAGCTGCTGTTCCTAAGTAATGGGAATCCTGGGCAGCTGGAGCGGCTCTGTGCCTACCTCTAGGCCATGGCCACAACATGCATGGAAGGCAATGGACATCACAGGCCCAATCAGATGGGACGTCCCACAGCACACACACAGCTCATGAGACTGGACAGTACTGCAAATCAACTCCCAACTTGGCTGAAATGGTTCCTTGTAAAGTGACTATAATGGCAATAAGACATCCTCTTGTTCCTGAAACTAATATCAGTTTATTATATATGGTTTTCACATTTTAATTGTGCCTCTTTTCCTAAAAATTAAATTATCTTTCTTAAAGTGTTGTGTTAGATCTAAAATTGGCCAAATTTTACACTTTTATCGGTGGTCCTTGAGAACCTTACTGACACTCCACCTGAATCCGGCAGCTTTGCACGGTACAGCCCCTTTATACAGGCTCCCGAAAGAATTAAGTAGTAAACGCTGACAGAATGCATTGTGTGTAATGATTCACTTGTCCTTAATGCATATACAGTAGTACTAGCTGTGTACCATCTTTGGGAGATTTGAGAAATAATTACTCAAATCAGTTTCAATAGAGTTAAATTGTCTGACCATACCCAGGTTCTTGGTATAGAGTCAGAGTTTTGAGTCACAAATCTACCACTTAATCGCTATCTGACTTGGGGTCTCTTACCCTATTTCCTTCTTTGACATCACCTTATCTCTATTTCACTACAAAAGACCACTCTACCAAGTACAGGAGACAGCATCTCTACCTAATACATAGAAACAAACACAAGGAAGCAGCCAAACTGACAAGACTAACAAATAGTTCCTAAATTTAAAAACAGGAGAAAACTTGAGAAAAAGAACTAAATGAAATGGAAGCAAGCAAATTATCAGATAGAGAGTTCAAAATACAGGTATAAGGATGCTCCAGGACTTTAGTGAGCCCTTCAGTAGCATAAAAAAAAGACATGGAATACCTACCTGGCAGGAGAGAGACCATGATCACAAGGGGTTTTTCCCAAGGTGAGGATACACTGCACTCCAGATGTGCTGACCCCCGTGATTTCCCCAAATGTGGGAAACTCGGCTGCATAATTTGTGGTAGTGGGAACTGCATTTGCGTTCTCCCCCGAAAAATAAAGGCATGGAGGCCTAGCCAGTGTGCTCAATAGTTAGTGTTGGCCCATGCACCAAATGGTCAAGGGTTCAATTCCCAGTAAAGGACATGTACCTTGCAGGTTTGATTCCTAGCCCCAATCAGGGTGCCTCTGGGAGGCAACCAATTAATGTGTCTCTCACATCGATGTTTTTCTCCCTCCCCACCTCTCCTCTTCCCTCCCACTCTCTAAAAATCAATGGAAAAAATATCCTCAGGTGAGGATTAACAAAAAAGTAATTTTTTAAAAAGGACATAGAAACCACAAAAAGAATCAGATGAAGGATACACTAATGGAAATGAATAAATGATCACGGGGCCAGGTGTGTAGGGGGGGGCGGGGGAGCAGAGTGCACACCCAGTATCTGCCCCCTCTGCCTAAGGCAGTGAGTGGTTCTCAACCTTCCTAATGCCACAACCCTTTAATACAGTTCCTCATGTTGTGGTGACCCCCAACCATAAAATTATTTTTGTTGCTACTTCATAACTGTAATTTTGCTACTGTTAGGAATCGTAATGTAAATATCTGATATGCAGGATGTATTTTCATTGTTACAAATTGAACATAAAGCATAGTGATTAATCACAAAAACAATATGTAATTATATGTGTTTTCCGATGGTCTTAGGCGACCCCTGTGAAAGGGTCATAGTTCGACCGGGGTCGCCACCCACAGGTTGATAACCGCTGGCCTAAGGGGTCAACTCTCAGGGCCCTACCACACCGGTTTGAGGACCCGGGGCTGCAGGCAGGACCTGGGGAACTGGTGACCGGCTGGGGCCCGGGCTCAGCAGGTCCCTGGGGCTGCAGGGGAAGCGCTGAGGGTGCCTGTGCTGAATGGGGGCCCAGGGGATGGGAGATGCTGCCACAGAGGTGGGGGGCATCGGGGACTTGGACCAGGAGGCGCCAGGCAGAGCCACGTCTCAGAGCGAATGCAGGCAGTCTGCTGGTTTGCAGACCCCGAATCAATTTCATTTCGAGGTAAAACAAAATCCTTTTTTATTTTTTATGAACAGATGGGCAGAGATACTTTTATAAAACCAAAACAGTCATATTTCGGATACAATTTGAAATTTAATTTTACAGAGGCCCTTCTCCCAATTCCCCAAACACACGGAGCTCCTTATGAAGTCAAGTGCACGTCTGCATCCTGGGGTGACTGCCTTGCATCCAAATGGGCCACAGACACAGGCCTGTGGGGTATAGAGAGGACGGAGCAGGGGGCACCTGAAGATGAAGGAGGAGTCAGGTGAGGATGGAGGAGAGGCCTCGTGAAGATGAGGGGAGGTTGAAGGGATGGGGCCAGGAGCAAAGGAGCCGCAGGAGCCCCCAGAAGCTGACCAGGCAGGAAGGACCCTGCCCTGGAGCCCTCCGAGGGAGCACAGCCCTGGACGCCCTGATTTCAGATTCTGGCACCCAGAGGGGGAGAGCACTTGTTCCTGTCGATTTAGGCCAGTCTGTAGTCATCTGAGCCGCAGCCTCAGGAAATAGACCCCTCCTTTTGGGGCTTTTATTTTATTTTATTTTTTATTGATTTCAGAGAGGAAGAGGCAGAGAAAGAGAGAAACATCAATGATGAGAGAGAACCATTGACTGGCTGCCTCCTGCAAGCCCCCCACTGGGGATTGAGCCCGGGCATGTGCCTTTGACTGGAATTGAACCTGGGACCCTTTAGTCCGCAGGCTGGCACTCTATCCACCGAGCCAAACCGGCTAGGGCTCCTTTTGGGGCTTTGACGGGGTTCTGGGAACAGCTGAGCCCTGTGCTCCGTGGCAGGGAAGCCCCCTCCACCCCAGACTTCTCACTGCAGGGCTCACAGGGAGATCATCCCTGTGTCTGTGCCTGGGCCCTGTCTCCTGCTCCCTGGGGCTCCTCCGCAGTGACAGTGCAGTGGGCACACCAGGCAGGCTGCTTGGTGGGAAGGGCAGGCCACGTGGCTCAGGGACTCCCCACCGCCTTGCCCAGCCCCCAGCTGCAGGATGATGCAGGGCACTCCAGCCCCACCCTTACCTACCGTGCCTTCGCCTAAGGCAGTGATGGCGAACCTTTTGAGTACCTTTTGAGCTCGGTGTGTCAGCATTTTGAAAAACCCTAACTTAACTCTGGTGCCGTGTCACATATAGAAATTTTTTTATATTTGCAACCATAGTAAAACAAAGATTTATATTTTTGATACTTATTTTATATATTTAAATGC